CTCTCTCTCTCTCTCTCTCTTCCTTTCCCCAATCGTCACGCTGCACCTCTGCTTCAGGCACCGGCCCATCCGCTGCATCTGCCTCGGCCGCCATCGTAGACTCGACTACCCAACCATCCGCCAATGTCTATATTACCTGTCCATCTCTGACCCCATCTCCCCACCTTTTCTCGTCACCAATCCATCTCCACTCCTCCTCTCTCCTCTACTCTCTTCTCGACACACACACTCTCTCGCAACAATGGTCTTCCACGACGGCGACGACGTCGCTCGCATCGACTCCAAGGCCGCCGCCGCCATCGCCTCCAAGGTCGAGGACTACGATGCCCTCGTCCACGATGCCGCAGAGGCCACCCAGAAGCAGGAAAAGATGAGCGTCGGCAAGGCCATCAGGACCTACCCGCAGGCCATCTTCTTCTCCGTCATTCTTTCCCTCGCCGTCATCATGGAAGGGTAAGTCTCGATTCACGCTGCCTGCTCCCAGACACCGAGTCATTCCACTCACTCCTGCTTGTCTCCCGCGCCCCCACAGCTACGATACCCTCCTCATCGGCAACTTCTTCGCACAGCCCGCCTTCCAGCGCAAGTACGGCGTCTGCAAGCCCAACGGCGAGTGCGAGATCCCCGCACCGTGGCAGACCGGCCTCACCAACGGCGCCCAGGTCGGCTCCATCATCGGCCTCCAGCTCACCGGTATCGCCTCGGAGCGCTTCGGCTACCGCAAGACCATCCTCGCCGCCCTCATCGCCATGACCGGCTTCATCTTCATCCCCTTCTTCGCTCCCAACCTCACCGTCCTCCTCGTCGGCCAGATCCTCCAGGGCCTCCCCTGGGGTGTCTTCCAGACCCTCACCACCTCCTACGCCGCCGAAGTCACCCCCGTCGCCCTCCGCCCTTACCTCACCACCTGGGTCAACGGATGCTGGGTCGTCGGCCAGCTCATCGCCTCGGGCATCCTCCGCGCCACCGTCAACCGCACCGACCACTGGGCCTACAAGATCCCCTACGCCATCCAGTGGGTGTGGCCCGTCCCCATCTTCATCGGCTGCTGGTTCGCCCCCGAGTCGCCCTGGTGGCTCGTCCGCCAGAACCGCCTCGAGGACGCAAAGCACTCGCTCCGCCGCCTCGCCGCCTCCGGCTCCGAGTTCACCGAGCACGAGGCCGACCAGACCGTCCAGATGATGATCCACACCAACGAGCTCGAGAAGGCCGCCGCCGAGGGCGGATCCTACTGGGACTGCTTCAAGAGGACCGACCGCCGCCGTACCGAGATCGCCTGCGTCGTTTGGCTCATCCAGGTCTTCTGCGGTGGCCCCCTCATGGGCCTCTCCTCCTACTTCTACACCAAGGCCGGCCTCCCCACCGACCAGGCCTTCAACCTCACCATCGGCCAGTTCTCCATGGGTCTCGTCGGCACCATCAGCTCCTGGTTCCTCCTCAAGAAGATCGGCCGTCGCCCCCTCTACCTCTACGGCCAGATCGCCCTCTTCTTCCTCATGATCACCATCGGCGGCCTCGCCTTCAAGTCGGACGACAAGAGCGTCTCGTGGGCCATCGGCTCCATGCTCCTCATCTTCACCTTCATCTACGATCTTACTGTCGGACCTCGTAAGTTTCCTCTTGCCCTCGCCCATTCATCCGAGTCTACATCTTCATGAGACTAACCCCTGCTCCTCTTCCATCTCTGATCAACAGTCTGCTACTGCATCGTCGCCGAGATCTCGTCCACTCGTCTCAGGGCCAAGACCGTGGTGCTCGCCCGTAACGCTTACAACATCGGCGGCATCATTGCCAACATTCTCTCGCCTCGCATGCTCAACTCGACCGAGTGGAACTGGGGCGCCAAGGCTGGCTTCTTCTGGGCCGGCACCGGCGCCCTCTGCATCATCTGGACCTTCTTCCGCCTGCCCGAGACCATGAACCGCTCCTACGGCGCGCTCGACATCCTGTTCGAGCAGAAGGTCTCGGCTCGCAAGTTCGCCTCCACCGAGGTCGACATGTTTGCCTCGCACACCCAGGCCGTCGCCCACGGCACCAACTCGGTCGACGACGAGAAGGCCAGCTCCACCGACAAGGTCGACGGCGTCGTCGCCAACACCACCGGCCTCGGCTACAAGTACGAGGCTTAGAACATCATTTTTTCTTGCCCAAAAATCATTCTTCCTCTTGCTTCATTGCTTGCTCCGCATTCCCCTCCCTCCAATGTTGTGTCTTGTAAAACATGTAACGGTCTTCACTCCATGCCCTGCTTCCAATGGATTCTCTTGCCTCATCTGTGCTTGCTCCATGTGATCTTGCATCTTTCGCTTTTATCACTTCTCTTATCTCGTCGACGCCAATAGTTGTCTGCCCTGCTCATCTTGCTTCTCGTCCGAGATATAGTGCTTGTGTTGGTGGCTTTCGGCTCTGTTCGGCCCCGCGCGCCCATTCGCGGCCCCCGATTGCATATGCGCCTACATGCAGCGTACGACCCTGCTCGATGCTGCACGGTCGCGGACGCTGCGATGGATTGGCCCGTTCTTGGATGCGAAGCACGCATCTTCTGCTCGCACCTCGCTCACTGACTGAGCTCTGCGTTCCATCGCACAGACTGCACAAGATCACCACCATCTCTCGCGTTTGTATCACTCGTCCATATCTTCTTTTTATCGCACATACAAGTCTGCCCGCTCTTGCCTGCACTGAAAGCATCGTACCGTCCACCGTCGCAAGCTCCGACGGCACTGTGACGGTCTCTACCACCCATGCGCGTTTCAAGTGCTGCAAACGCGAGACGGATTGCAGAGACATTGCCAACGTGCTAGCTATACAACCATGACCGGAAAGACACCTTGAGAAGCGAGGGCGTTGGATCAGCTCGAGTTGGAGAAACGTTGCTGCTGACGCATGGCCCACTTGTCCAGACGGTCACCCCAAAAGTAGAATGGGATTCCCACGAGGTAGGCCGCTGCCGTGACGGCAGCCAGGACGCCGTAGGCCCACTTTGCATTGTGCTGCGTAACCATGGGCAGGGTGCCCTGGGTGATGCCGTAGCTGATGATGTTCTTGGCGCCTACGACGAGCAGAAGTGCCGCGCCTGGATTCTTGGGGTAGGCGATGGACGCAAACGCGGATCCGACGATGAGCATGCTGGTGAATGCAAACTGGTTCAGGAACCACGCCATCACGGGTCCCGCCCATGTCGCCTCTCCCGATGCCGTAAAGGCATACAGCATGAGAGACGCAAACGAAAATACACCGGGTACGATAGCCACGACCAGGTAATGACCTGGACGCAGAACTCCGGCATTGCGTTTGGCCATTGCCATGACGATGCGGCTGCCGATGGGACCCGAGTATAGCATGCCGAGGAAAGCACCCACCATGCCACCGATCGCAATCAGCCCGGCATTCTTGGGTGCCCAATGGTACACAGCAATGAGCACCTCGGAGTAGGTGAGGGACAGAGCGATGGATGTGCCGAGGATCACGCTGAGCAGCAGCGCCATGTACATGATCGACGGACACAGCATGGCCAGCACCACATCCCACAGCGTACGTGCCGCAATGCGCAGTGCCGGCTGCTGCACGCCCGACCACGGCTTGAGCGTATCCATCCATCCCAGCTCCCCCGACTCGGCGTCCTGCGTCTCTGCGTTGGCGAATCGCCCCTGGGCCTGAGCCACACGCAGCTGATCTTGGGTCATGGCATGGTGTACGCCAAACCTGTCCACCACGTAGTAGACTCCATCCTTGTACTGAGCTGGGCGATCGTAGGCGGTTTCGGTGAGAAAGAAGAACGCAATGACCACGCCGACGGCAGCTGCAATGACGTAGATCCAGTAGAACCATCGCCAGCCCATGCTAGCCACCTGGTACGAACCGGCGAGGTTGAGTGCGGACGAAAAGACGTTCTGCGACGCCCAGTAGATGCCAAAGATCATGCTGCGCTGGTGAACAAAGGTGATCTCGGTGATCATGAGCGGGAGCAACGACTCGGAGATGCCCGCCGCCAGACCTTGGACGATTCGGGTGGCGAGATGCTGTTCAAACGTCTGGGCGCATGCCGAACCGATGCAGCCGGCCACCAGCACCATCGACGCACCGAGCGCAATTGGCCTGCGTCCAAACACCATCGAGGCCGGCAGTACGATCAAGTTGCCCAGTCCCACCATGACCGAGGGCAGGGTGCTTAGCCACGTCACCTTTTCGGGTCCCTGTTCGTGGTAGAGGCCGTAAAAGGTGCTCATGATCGGACCGAGGCCTCCGATGAGCGCGAGCGAAAAGATCGAGAACCAGCAACAGCTGACGACGATGCCGAGCTTGCGCCAGGTGCTGAAGTTGAGTGGATCGCGTGCGCTCGAGCTGGGCATTGGCCATCGCTGCATCTTGCCGTGCGAGTCGACCACACGCACGTCTGTCGCCACGATCTCGACCGACGAAGACGAGGCGAGGCGAGGAGCTACATCGTATGCATCCGTAGACGTGTGCATCCCGTCCGACTTCTTGTCTTCCATGCTGGATTGTTCCGCGTCACGCGCGCACGCCTGAATCGCCGTCATGCTCCGGAGGTATCGAGTGTTGTAGGTACGGCCGATTGCAGGATGCCAGATGTGGGCCGACGAGCAACACAATGCGATCCAAGCATGCCCATCTTATAGCCAAGTATGGGCTGCGTGAGATTCAGGCACGCCCGTTCCTAGCGCCGCAAGCAGGGTCGAAGGATGCGCGGGGTTGGGTGGAGAGATGTGCATGTGCGTGTGGGGTGAGCTGCAGCACCGGCTGGCGGCTCGGGTCACAGCGGGTAGGGCGGAGCGGACGTTGCGGCCTGGCGTGGTGGCAGCTATCGACTCACTCGGCACAGCATCACCAGCGATGGCAGCAGACACAAGGGTGATGGTCAGAGGAAGAAGGCGGGCCATGCAGGCCCAACATGCGGGGTCTCCAAAAACGTCAACCCCACATTCTCGGCTGGCGACGACACGAAGCTGCCCACTACGCCAACTTGCTCGTCAACTTGGGCCACCGCATGCTGGCCACGCTTACGTTTACGCATGACCCTGTGCGTCTGCTCATCAGGCGAGCGGCCATGCTGGCTGGTGGCGAGCAATAGGCGCGCGCTGATTCGCACAGCGGCCACCGAGTCGGCTCGCGTGTGTCGGGCCAATCCACCAAGCCACGCGGCTTCCAACTCCGCCATCCCCAGCCGAACCGAACCGAGCCGAGCCAAGCCGAGCCGAGCTGAAGCCTCCATGGCGCCTGCCCACCCGTCAGCCTTGTATCCCTCCCTCCCCCCACATAATACCCAGCCGAGCCGAGCCGAGGCCATTTCATCGCGTCGAAACGATGCACGCCAACCCACGGAAGCAAGCAAGAAAGGATACGCAGAAATCGGCTTGGCATTCAGGCACATCTACGAACTCGGAACGGCAGCAGGCGCTACGGCGTCAAAGAGCGACGATGCGGCGGGAGTGTGGTCTTTGTTGGAGTGATGGGCGGCCTGACGGGCGAGCCAAGACTGGCATCCTTCGTAGTTGCAGTTGTAGTCCATGAACTCGCGCGGATTGAGCGTGACTTTGCCGGCGTCGCTTGTGCCCGGTTTGGCCTGTTGGCGGCTGTAGGCCTGGATGAGCGAGGCGCGCTCGATGCGTGCAGCGTAGACTGCTGCAAGTGCCCTCTCGAGCTCTTCTTTGCTGCTGTTGGAGCCAATGTCTCGCAGCAAGTACTGCAGCGCTTCTGCGTCTTCAAACGACTGCGAGGCGCCCTGACCCTGAGTGGGGAGCATGGCGTGCGCCGCATCGCCGATCAACACTGCCCTGCCGCGATGCCATGCTGACAGCGGCGCAATGTCGCGCAGCTGCCAGATGCTTGGCTCCACCGAGCGTGCGATCAGCTCGCGCGTCCATGCGGGAAAGTCGTCAAAGTGCTCCGCAAACTCCTGCACCGAAACTTGGCAGTTCCACGAACTCGACTCCTTGGTTCGATCTGTATCAGGCACGAGCCCAACGACGCCCAGCACCGTGCCTGAACGAGAGGGTCCCATGACCAATCGGCGATCACGACCCACAATCATGAGCGTCTGATCCTGGCCTAGCTGCACACCCTCCGGCAGCCCTCGGATGTCCCTGAGATCGTCCATGGGGATGAGCGTGCGGAAGGCAGACAGACCGGTGGGGAGAGCGGGTGCATCGGCTTGCACCACAGCCGAACGCACCGCCGACCGGATGCCATCGGCTCCAATGATGAGGTCGGCGCACATCTCACTTGCGTCCTCGAGCCACACCTTGCCCGCCTCGGTGTCGACCTTGGTGACTCTGGACGAGGTGTGGATGTGCGCACCGCTGTCCAGCGCCGCCTGACGCAGCGCCGAATGCAGATCGACGCGGTGGAAGCACACGCGGTCCTCGCCGTACTGCTCGGTGGTGAGTTGGATCTTCATGTGCAGCTTGTCGTCCGTGCCGTAGAGCAGGAACGCCTTGTCCGGCACGCCACGCCCCAGCGAATTGTCGCCGAACAGATACGTGTCGAGCTTGAGGAAGCGCTTGGCGATCTTGACCGCGTTGGGCTGCAGCGAGATGTTGGCGCCCACCTCGCGATTCAGCCGCGACTGCTCGAGCAGCGTGATGCGTCGTCCGGGCGCTGCCAGCGCAACCGCCGTCGCCAAACCCGCAATCCCCGCGCCCGCGATCACGATCTCGAATGGTTTGGTAGTCTGCGTCATGGTGGCCTCCCTTTTGCAGTGCAGTGGCAGTGGTTGATGTTGGAAAGAGCGACGGTGTTTGCGGATCTACAAACGGCAACGGCTATATATTGACTGCCAGCCGACCGAGCTTTTCTGCTTACAGCTTTGTCCGTTGCAGGCTCGGTTCGTTTGAGTATGGCGGGGACGATACTTTTTGACATGTTAGCGTGCATCCGCATCGGGCGAGGTGGGGGTTGTGGGGCAAGTGGCATCCGCCGGCACCATCTTTGTTAGGTTGCTGCGACATCTCCGCCGAGCCGAAGTGTGGGGTTTGCTATCCCAAGCGAACCGAACCGAAGACCCTGGCCCGAATCTCCTCGGGAGGACACCTTCAAGGCGGTGTCGTCTGGCGCCATTCGTCCCGGCCAGCCATGCCGCAAACAAAGACGCCCCGACGGGCTGGAAAACATATATGAATCGAGCCTTGTCACCTCCCCAGCCATATCGGATCACAGCTTTCTGTCGAACGATATCGAACATCCAAGCGAGCCCATAGCTAGCAAGCTAGACGTCCACATTTCAGGATGCTCTCTGTTCAGACACCCGTTGCGCCTGCTGTTCTCAAGCACGACGTCGCCGAGCCTTGCACGATCACCGCTTCTGCACCCAAGACCGACGCTCATCTCGATGCTTGGCACCGTGACCTGCTTCGCGATGGCTACTGCGTTGTCAAAGGAGCGGTGCCCCAGGAAAGGGCGCTGCAGTACGCCGACAAGATGCACGGATGGCTCGAGGGCTTCCAGCTCGGCTACGACCGCAACGACCTGTCCACCGTGCACAAGGACAAGCTGCCCGCCATCACGGAGAAGGGCATGTGCCTCAACTACGCCGTGACGCACGAGGACTGGGCGTGGAAGATCCGCGCAGAACCGGGCGTGGTGGGAGCGTTTGAAAAGTTCCTGGGCACCCAAGACCTGATCGTCTCGTTTGATGCCGTCAACTTTGGTTTCCCCAACCGCAAGGACCTGCCGCCCAACAAGCCGTGGCCGCACCAGGACCAGGACCCGCTCAAGCCGGGCTTCCGCTGCCTGCAGGGCCTGGTGAACCTGCTTCCGAACGGCCCGGATGATGGCGGACTGATCGTCTGCAAGGGCTCGCATGCGCTCTCGACGCAGTTCCACGAGGAGATGGCATGGGAGGAGAAGATCCCAGCATGGACCAACGAGTGGTACGGCTTTACGGACGCCGGTATGAAGTGGCTCGCCGACCACGGCTGCGAGTGGATCAAGGTGTGCGCCGAACCGGGCGACCTGCTGCTGTGGGACAGCCGCACGGCGCATTACAACCTGTCGAGCAAGACCGACCAGCCTCGCTTCTGCGTCTACACGTGCTACATGCCCGTTGCGGATGCGTCGCAGGAGGACCTCAAGCGCAAGAAGGATGCGTTTGAGCGCCGCGTAGGCACCACGCACTGGCCCAACGCTCGCCACACCGGCTCCAACGTGGCCAAGCGTGATGCCATCGACGATCCTCACAACCGCGACCGACCCGTGGAGGAACCGCAGCTGAGCGAGCGTGCCTTCCGCCTCACCGGCATCCCCTACATCAAGGCCGAGTGAAGCCTCTGTCGCCGACGATCACCTCTTTTTTTGCATGTCCATGACTCCAGTGACCCCATCGCCGCATCTTGTGCCTTTGCTTGTACCCGTCCTCGTCCTCGAAAATTGAATCCTTGATGATGTCACCCAGGCGTGTCGGCAAGCAGGATGCATGGACCGAGCGAGACTGTCAGCTTGACCTGAATGCTGTTTGTCATGGCCGACGTCGTTGTTATTGTCGAGCGACATTTCGTGCTGCTTTATTTTCGTGCATTTTTTCTCCATTTATCAAATGCTTCCTTGATTAAAATCGAGAAGGAGGTGGAGGTGGACGTGCAAACGATCGTGACGAGGACGGCCTGGCCTGCCTCTCGACTTCCATCTCTCTTTGGCTTCCAGCGCCGCCGTGCGCTTTGCAGTCACAATGTCCCCTAGCCTATGACGTCTAGCCTGCAAGCATCGTCCCACACTGCTTGCTGTTGCTCACCGCCATGAACGACCCTAACGACGCTTCGACCGGTCGAGCGGGCGGCGAGCGCGCTCCAAAGCGCAAGCGGCTCTCGCATGCGTGCAAGGCATGCCGCGCTCGCAAGGTGCGCTGCGACGAGCGCCTCCCCGCGTGCACCAACTGCGCCAAGCTGCGCATCCAATGCATCACCGACGATCCACGCAGACCGCACATCCGCTCCGTCACACGCTCCAGAGCATCCGGCTCGCGGACATCGTCCACATTGCACGCAGACCACCAGCCACAGGCGCATCAGCCCGACTCGACAGCAGTCACCCAGTCGAAGCAGAACGATGCCCCAGCAGCAGTCCCGCACGAGGACGAGCAGCATGGCTCCCGCGCTTCATCCCCTTGGGCCGACCCAACCTGGATGAGGAACGCACTCGGAAGCACCTCGGCCAGCATCATCTCGGACTCCCACGCCCAGGACCGCTTCAAGTACGTCGGATCCTCCAACCTCCAGGTGTTTTCCAACTGGATCGACCTTCTCCTCGCTCGTCAGCGCAACACCACCTCCACCCACGCGCGCAAGCCCCTCCCCTCGGCCTCCATATCGGATCACTTTGATCACGGCCGCATCCACTCAGAGGAGTTTCACTTTGCCCTGCGCCCCGCCCTGCCCGGCCTTACGCCGCTCCGCCACATCGACGCCATCCTCGAAGCCTTTTTCGACAACGCCAACAGCGTCTTTCCCATCTTTGACGAGGCGCTTCTCCGCCACCAACTCGCCCGCCTCATCCAACACTTGCGCCTCGATGACCCGTCCGCCATGCAGCTCGACAGTCTCAGCCCTTACGAAGTGCCCATGCTCGCCACTCTGTACGTCGTCACCGCGTTTGGCCTTCTCGATGTTGTGCCTCGACAGCAGCCAGAGGTCAAGAAATATCTCGACGCCGCCTACAGCCTGTACGGACACATGATCGGCGTTCCTTACCTCGCCTCGGTCCAGGCACTCTTGGTCCTCCATCTCGCCCTGCGCGCCATGAGCAAGGATGGCGCCGCATGGCAGACCCTCGGCTCCGCCATCCGCGTCGCCTACTCTATCGGTCTGCACCGCGGACCCGTCTCGCCGCCGCTCCACTCGCCAGCGCTCGAATCGACAAAGGCCCGCGTGTGGTGGTGCTGCTACGTCCTCGACCGCGTCGCCACGCTCGACTCTGGTCGGCCCACGATGATCAACGACCTCGACGTCCAGCTCAGCGCACTGCGCATCCCACGCCAGCCCGCCTCGGACCTCGTCGCCGCCTCGTCGGCCGACGATCCCGCGTCCATGACGAGCCTGCCAGACGACCTCTTTAACGAACGCTACCTCGCCTCGCTCGTCGCTCTATGCCGCCTCAAGGCAGACATCCACAGCAAGCTGTACACCAGTCGCAATCACTCGCTCGCCGAAGCTGATCTCTTTGCCACCATCGCAAAGATGGATGCAAAACTCATGGACTGGTCCTCGTCGTGTCTTGTGCATCTCCGACTGCCGACCATGGCTAGCGAGGAAGCTCTGCGCGCCGTGTCCAAGAGCCGCGACCTGCGCGTGCTGCATCTGCTCTGCACCTACCACTTTACGCTCATCAACGTGCACCGCGCCTCGGTGATGCTCGACACGCGTCTGTACCAGCATCACGTTGCGCAGACGCTCACCAAGCGCAGCGACCGCCTCTTGTCTGCCGAGACCATCTGTCGAGGCTCGGCACGCACCATCATCCGCTGCATCAATCAGTTTCGCCTCCTGCATCACTCCACAGCACGCATGATCGCAGGCACCATCCCGCTCTCGGCCGTCTACGTGCTAGCCATCTGCATCTTCAAGCATCCCAAGCAGTGGAGCGTGGCTTCCGACCTCGCGCTCATCGAGAGCATCGCAAAGACCGTAGCGCAGGACTTTGAGAACGACGGCATGCCCGCAGGATTCACCAGCATCTTTGCCACCCTGCAGCAACTCGCGACGCAGTGCGTCCGACACGTCTCCAGCCGACCCTCTTCGCCGCCACTCGCCGATCTGGACACGCTGCAGGCCCAGGTAAGCCTCGAGCCGTTTTGGAAGTCGTTGGGTTTCGGCCAGGTCGTCTCCTCGGTTGGCGATGAAACGCAGTCCAGCCAACCAGCCGCCACCAACTTTGTCTCGCCCGCCGATTCCACGGCCAACGCTGCAAGGCCCGCCTACGCGACCGAGGATAGCGACGAGGTGCCAAGCTTCCAGAGCTTGCTCGAACTCGATCATCCCGACCAGCTGCTCTACTCGCTGCTTGGCCTGCCAGAGATTTTCACCCCCGGCGCAGAAGCTTCTGTCGAGACCGGCCTGCTCGGTCTAGACGAGCCGGAAACATGACCGCCGCTCCATACTCCATGTCATTGCACGGCAGAGATGACGCCGCCAGACCACAAGCCGAGCATGATCCAGATCACGCGCGTTGCGGCCAGTTCGTTCTCGATGCGTTGCAGCCGCTACTTGAGCTGGCGTTCGGATGGCTGGGACCCACGCGAGCAATCACGAGCTCAAACCGACGCATGGCGGGCGGCTCGTCAGGTTGAGGCGGCGAAAGATTGCCCGCCTGTCGATCCCTTGCAATGCCCGTGAATAAAGACTCCAGATGGCGATGGAAGTACCTGTGAGCTGGAAGCGCATTTTGCTTGCTAGCATGATTCGGGGCCCCGGTTGCATTCGTCTGCCGTACAGGGTGTCATGACGTGGCCTCGCATGGTCCTGGACTAAAAAGGCCAGTGCGGCGGCCCAGCATCACCAACCCGTCGGAATTGCAGCACCCTGCAACAGCGCGCGAGGTGTGAGAACAATTCATGCACTAATCTCACCCTCCAGCACAGCCTCGTTTGACCCTGAGGATAAAGGCAAGCTCTGCTGTTTCTAGCTACATTGCCCAGACGCTCATAAAAGCGTGCTGATTGTTCTGTCGGAACCAGCTCGCATATCGCTCCTTCTCCCGCCTCTCTTTCAACGATACCTACCAACCACCGTCACCTCAACATTGTGTTTCGAGTGTTCAACCAACAAAACAGAGAGCATGTCAAAGAGGGGAGACGAGGAAGCTCGACAGCCTCTGCTGTCCAACACCGATCATGACAGCCACGATCCTGCCCAAGGGCGGCCCGAAGTATCATCCGGCAGTCCTGAACTGACGAACAAGGATGAGGATCGGCACTGGCTCGAGGAGCTCGTCTTCAAGACTCGCCGCCGCTTCTTTGTTTCGGTCTGCATCTTACTCGGCTCTCTCTACGCCGTTACGGCCATCCTCACCGGCCGTCCCCCATGGGCCGGGTCGCACTTGCCCTGGACGAGAACTCCAGAACCCTACCGCAGCTATGAGCTGGGAGAGGCCACGCGCAGACTCGAACAGCAGCCTTTCTGCCTTCCGCCGGCCAACAGGCTAGGCCTGGCTGATACGCAGTTCGTGCACGATCGCTCACGAGATCCAAACTGGCTGCCTTGGAATCGCCGAACAGGTGCATTGTTTGACTCCCTCGGACACGAGTTCGATCAGCTCGCCGGAAGCAAAGTGCGTGGCTCGTCTCAACGCTACCGCGAGTCGCTTCATCTATCCATGTCCCTGTCGCAGGGCGAACCGTTCTACACGAGGAACGTCAAAGCTGAGGCCAACTCGAGGCTGCTCGGACCAACTGTTCATCATGCCGACAACAGAACCTTCCGCAGCCTTGCTCTTGGAAAGGCGATCCGTCGTCTGAGCGTGTTGGCTTCAAGCGCTGTTGATAGGCATGTCGGCCCCGAAGAACTTGTCCAGGCCCTACGACTCAGACACTCCCGCATCGTCACCGAGACCAAGCTCAGTCCCGCCAGTGCACCTCATCGCGAAGCGATCCTGCTCGAGACTACTTTTTCGGACATGCATCAATTTGCACAGTCGATCGTTGCTCTGTACCACGGCGAGAGCTCAGCTGCCGATTCGTCCCTGCTAAGCCCGCACGTCATCCGCAACTATCTTAGACGTCTCGAGCCGACTACCGACGGCACGACTTCAGTCACGAGATCCGCATTCGTCGCGATCAGAAAAAGCGTTGTTCGACAAGGTGGCAGTGCACTGAAGGGGGTTGGAAGACACAGTGCTGGAGGCTTGCGACTGCAGAACCGCGATCGCATGTTGGAGATCGACGTTCTCACAGAGCTCAGGGACGAACACGAGCTGGTCATCACCCTTGATCTCGAGAGAGGGCTGATTGTCACGTCCTTGGCTCATCTCCGCGAATCTCGTGGCAGCAAGACTCAGGCGTCTCACGGGCAGCACCAAGTCCATTTCGGCGAAGCAAGTCTTTGGGATTGGATGAACGCGTCGGCTGATAACATCTTCCACGGGCTCGACTGGCAATCCGACGATCGTATGATCACAACACTGAGCGGCACCTACCGATACCAGAGGCAAGATTCGAGCGCAACCCAACCTGATTCCGGCCTTGGTGGTGTTGACTGGCTCGAAGTTGACGTCACCCTCGACGAGAGGTCGCTGTGGATCACCAGAATCGAGTTGGCCCCGACAAAGGCCGGAAGCCCGACAGTATCTGTCCTGCGCAAGTACAACGTCGGTGGCACCGCCGACTTCTTCGGTGGCTGGACTTGCACCACCGATTACAGCAAGAACGATCTCGCCGACTGCTACCGTCCTCACATGGGTGAAGATGATAGCAAGTGCGTTTGCACTGATTCGGCCGCCGGCACCACCTCCAACTACCGCGTAGGACTATGGCCGACTTCTTCCGTGAGCCGTTCGGGATCCTACGAGATCCCCCGCGCTGCTATCAGAATTGATGGAAGCAGCTATATGGACCAGGGTGTCGGTGGTTGTCCTTCGCTGTGGACGCCCGACGCCGGTCAGAGCGTCCCGGAGATGCACCTGCTTGGGTACAAGCTCTCGTTCACAGAGGCACAGTACGACGACAAGGGTAAGATGTTGAGACAAGCCGGAGTCAAATGGCTCGACGTCGGCATTGATATGGTACGGATCAGCAATGATCAGCCTCGCTGGTGAACTCTCGGCATCGTTCGATATCAACCTCACGCACGACCGACAGATTGCAATCGATGTCAGACAGCTACGTGGATCGTCAACATTGCGGGCTTCTTTCAGTTACCGCTCTTCATTTAGGGCATGGTCCTGGGCTTGACAAAGTTTGGGCCAACTTTGATGGCATCGACATGATCGGTGAGCGATGCATAGGCTCGGCGAATTCGGATCGGTGTATCGCTGAGTGAGACAAGATGGGAACGATTGCGGGCCCGGATGCTACGGGATCGGAGGGACTGTAGAACAGTTGCTCTGTGCCCTCCAATTGAACTACGGTTACGGAGACGATCTCGACACGAAAACCCTCCGACAGTTCGAAGTCCGGACGAGGAATCCTGCTTCCAACTTCCAATAGGAATCTAGCCTACCCTGATAGGCGTTAACGATGATTGAGCGGGCCAGTCGGTTGATCCATCTCAGAGCGTGAACACCTGTCAAGAAATGCAGGCGTTTGAAAGGCTCCGAGATTCTTCCAAAAGGCTCCGGTGAAACGCAGGGTGTCCACGAGCTCAGGGTCCAGGCACGTCAGGGCAGCTGCAGCTGATACCAACGTGGGGACCCACGGCGCCATTCCAACCTTGGAACCGCGGACTTCGGCCAAGCCATCAGCACAAGCTCTCGACTCGGGACAAGGGAACTCTGTCGTATATATACGCAGACCTCAACGTGCTTTCCGTATCTCTGGTTCCAAGCCCCCCTCGATCGATCAATTGTCCGGGACCTCCCCACCTTGATCCTACATCAATCGAAGACAAAGAGGTGCCAGAAGATGGAGTACGAGACCGAAGAAAAGCCAGGCGACCTCCAAATGAGGTTGCCCGATGGCCAGAATGCCTCGACGGCCGAAACGCGCCAGAGATCCTTTTCGCTCGAGCGACAGCACAAGACCGGATTCGCGATGACCCAATTTGCAATCGGTGCTCCTTTCAGCGCATTCAACACGTACATCATCTATCAGATGCAGATCGTCGGGTACACGATTGGCAACGAGCCAGGACAGCCGCGAGGCTCGGGCTGTTCGCTGCTGGCAACTGCGTGCGAGGTGCCCTTTGGCACGAACAGCTTCATCAATTATGTCTCGTTCAACAACTACATCAACGCGATCACCTACGTGTCCACTGGCGTGCTGATACTCGCTCTCTCCGGCATCGGAGACCGCATGGGCTACAAGAGGGAGCAGTATGTGCTCCTGACCATCGCTTATGCTGCCCTTGCTCTACCCTCGGCGGCGCTTACAAAGGTTGACAGCCCCACCTTTGCCGCCCTCGCCGCTCTCTACGTCGTTTTCAACCTCTTCGGCTTTCTGGCGGGAAATTGGGGCAAGTACGTCGTACCGTACGTCATGTTCAGCTGCTATGACGATGAAAAGGTCGAGGGTCATCCAGAACAGCCCTCTGGCCTCGCAATTTTGCCAAGCGAGCCACTGCGCGCCACGCGTGAAGTCAAGGGGACAAAGGCAGCGGTATGGGGTAGCAACGCACTCAGCATTGGCCAGATCGCCGTTCTGCTCCTCACCATTGGCATTTCTTACGTCTCGGCATCCTCTGCTGGGCTTTACGTGTCGACATCAGCCGGCGTGATAAGCATCGTCATCACCCTAGCGGCGTGGCTCCTGCTTCCGAAAGCTGCACCAGCCCCACATGCCCGTGGTTCCACGAATGTCTTCTGCACCCCCTTCCAGACGGTGCTCGATCTGCTTCGAGGCATCAGCAAGTATCCCCAGGCATTCAAGCTGCTAGTCTCGTACACCATCTATGCCGACGCAGCGCTCGTCTTTGGTGGAGTTACGGGTAGCCTGTACACACTCAACGTATCGCGTGACATCCGCATCTACACGGCCTACGCACTGGTCCAGCCCGCGTCAGCTTTGCTAGCCGGGATGTTCTGCGCCTGGGCTTACCCAGCGATCCTGCGCAGACGTCGTCCATCATCCAACTCTGCGCTTAAGGCCGTGATGCTGGCCGCTCTGGCGGTGAACTTGTTTGTTACCGTGTGGTGTTGCATCGGCATTTCACCGCGCAGTCGGATCGGCTTCAAACAACCTTGGGAGTTCTACCTTTGGCAAGCAGTGCAGGGCTTCACCGGAGCGCTGATCAACTTCTCCTTCACCGTCCTCTTTGCCCAGCTTTCGCCACGCGGTCGCGAGATCGAATACTTTGGTTTCCAGACGGTGCTGTCTTGCGCCACCATCTGGATCCCGCAAATCGTCAATGGGCCCATTGTAGCGGCAACAAACATCACCAGACTGCCAGCAGTGGTTTGTGCGGCAACCCTACTCGGCGCTCTTGGGTTGGCTTTCTGGTGTGACGATACGAAGGGCATCCGCCTCATCCAGGAACAGCAGGAGGAATCGCCCTTGACAGACTAGGCAGGTCGGTCGGAAACCCAACTCTAATCCTGAGACTGACGATGGTCTGCATTGGTCAATGTGCTGCTTCGAGTTGTGTACCTGACTAGAGGCGGGTGCAATGGAACGCGCTACGTCACATCTGTTTAGGTGCTTGGCTGAGAACTTTGCGCGTCCACGCAAAACCTGTGATGCCAGCAAGCACGGTACAGAAAGCGAATACTGCTCGCTCAGCATCCTCCTTCTCCTGCAGCCCTTGCGGAACGCCCAGAGCCGTCTGGAAGGTCAAGGGTGATTTCGCGAGCACGGTACCCAGCATGAAGGCGATGGCCAGGTAGACTCGGAAAAGGTGTATGGCGTAGCAGCTTGTCGTGTGCAACACCGCCCAATACCGATGCTTGGCAAAGGCCCGCCTCCTGGCATACTTGACCGTCTTGTAGAGCGTGAAAAGCTGCGGAATAGCTGCCAAAAAGAGACCCTGGTTAAACGTGATGAATGGCAGATACCACTTGCCAAAAGCATAGTGAAAGGAGAGAGGAGCTGGCAAGGAATACGACAAGCCTCGAAACGGGAATGTGAGCCCAGTAGCGGCGAGCAGAAATGAACCAGTCAAAGTCAAGTATCCACAAACACGGTGTGCTGTGGGATACTTGACTCGAAACGAGTCGATGTGCTGCAAAGGCATCACGATGCTCCAAAATACGGCCATGTAGACGTGCAAGTACTTGTAGGTTAGAGGGTTGTCCTCGACCCGTTGATGAAGAAATGACTTTCGATGCTGTCACCCGACAACGAAGAAGAAAGTTCAGCTTCAATGTAGACTCTGCGCTAGATCGTCTCCCATGGTTGGCTCTGGATCCAGAGC